TTTTTATATTCCCCATACAATTGCAACCCCCTGATTTTGACCCAAATCCCTCCCCTCCCCGCCCCCCACCCCTCATAGAGTGTCTCTGGTTCATAGTTGTTTGCTGATTTTGATTTTCACTTTCTTATAGTTATTCATTTTCCTGGTCCCTTATTTAAGTTTTCTAGATTCCCGCTATGAGTGAGACCATCCGGTATTTTTCTTTTTCTTTCTGGCTTATTTCGCTGAGCATGATCCCTTCCAGCGCCATCCATGTTGCTGCAAATTGCATGTGTTTATCTTTTTTGAATGCTGAGTAATATTCCATGGTGTATATGTACCACATCTTCTTGATCCAGTCATCTATTTTTGAGCATGTTTCCTGCTATTTCTAATGAATATTTTTGTTCTGTAATTATCCCCCTTTCTTCATTCTCAATTGTTTCTTTTGACCTAAAATATCCTTTATAACTCATTCTATTGTTTTATCATCTCTCTATGAACTCTTGTTTTATGGAACTATATGTTCATGTCAAGGTGTTCTATTTGCGGGAAGCAAATATTAGACTATTTCATGGATTCAGAAAGCTGTTGTTTTCCTCTTGGTGGAATCATTGAGATTAGTTGGGGAAGAGTATTGCATTACAAAGGACTATGGAAAATTTTCCCAATTTAATGTGTTTTTCTGAAGCCATCTTTTCCCCAGGAGGCAGTATTTATTAACATTCCTCTAGCTCACCATTTCCCTTCCAAAATCCCTTTTACTATACCTTAAAACAACGAAAATAGCCAAAAATTGGGGCTATTCATTATTTTTGCTTCTCTCCAGATTTGGGAATGTTAGTGAGAATTTACAGTAAGTTGTCCAATTGTCAGAAAATTCTAAGGAGGCCCTGAATTCATGTCCTGTTAAGCTTCTCCATTCTAAGCAAAGACCCCAACTTCCATTTTGTCCCTTGCTTTAGTTTCCAAGGAATTGCAGCCTTGGGTTTCATGTAAAAATTATGTAAAAATTACATAATTTTCTTTGTTCAGTCATTCCTTGTGTGTGTGTGTGTGTGTGTGTTTGTACAGGGGAGTTTATTTGCTGACTTACACTATTTTAAAACACTTCATTTGAGTCTTATCAGTGGTGGTAAATTATGCAGTTTACCTAATTATCAAATTCTACTTTCTTATCTCCACAATAAAAACCAACACTTTAAAATTCAGAATTTGGGTTGATTTTAGTCGTCAAATGGGTTTTATTGAATTTTCCTAACAATTATGATATTTTGTCATCCACAGAGATATAAAAACTCATTCTTGTCCCCATTTTCAATGGGGCTATGTATAACTATTTGATTGCTATCTATCGAATACTGCAATTGAATGCAGCCTTAAATGTGAAGATAGTCAGAGAACAGCAAATCAATGATCATGGGGAACTCCAGAAGTGAGTTTTGACATAATAGAAGCATTTCACAGACTTACATTTTCATAATTAGATTCCACTTTCCAAGTAGACATAAATGACTATGGAATCTAAAATGTTTCTATATATAAATGTTTCAGTATATAAAATGTTTCTATTCCCCTGACAACCCAAGGGGGTAAAAAAGGATTTTTCAAAAGTGAAGATACTTTCATAGTAAAAATTAGGATTTAGATTTAATTTTTTTATGTTCCAAAATATGAATACATGGTAATATGAATTTTCCTTATTGTAAGTATATTTTACATTGATGGTATACTAACTCTGGAAATTCTTTGTAAGAATCATTCCAATATTGTCTGGACAGCTCTGCTGTCCAACATGTTAAAAAATGTGCCTGGCAACCGGAGGACACCCCTTATTCTGCCAGCTACTGCTGAGTGACCTGAGTCAATATTTGTATATGCTTCAGTTTCTACCACTTATATTGGCCCACAGAAGCCACAATAGTGGAGTCTGACTTGGCAAAATGTGTCCACTCACAATTAGCAGAGTACAATGTAGATAAACTAGTTCCACCTAAGATGTTAGTCTAGGTGGGTCAATTTAAAGGGGGAACAAAATGAAACCATATAAAAAAATTGCCATCCAATAGTATATAAAGAGCTCTGAAGAAAAATCATTTATAGTGATGCAGAGTAACAAATATAGCTAGAATAACACACAGAAAATTTAAAGCAATGATTAACAAAATATTTTTTAAGCAATTAATCTTAAACAATTAATCTTAAAAATTCTGATACTGAGGTTTCACTGTTCAATTACATACTCTGCCTCTTCCTTGTCTTTGATTACTATATAATGAGAGTCTGTACAGGACTCACATATACACACTAGCTACTCTTATTATCACAATTTGCACAAGGAAAGCTTTTAATTCCTTTTTTTTTTTTTTAGTTTTTAATTCTTATCAGATCAGGAAAACAAAAGAAATAACAAATTTATAAGATAACTGAAAAAAAAAAAGCCTTACTATAATTTTCCCATGTGATGTCCAACCTAACTCATCTATCTTGTTCAAGGAGATAGAGCATGGTACTAAAGATCCAGGATCCCAAGTTCCTTCGCTAATAATAACTGTTATTATTTTAAACATTTAATATATTTGGACCGCACAAGCTCCAGAGGTAAGCAAGAGAACATCATTATTCTTCTGTTTACAGATAAGCAGCTCAGTTACACAACTGACCAGGCACAAAGGTCTTTCTCCAACATGGAGCTTGTGACTCCTAGAACAGTGCTCTCTCCAAAACTCTGCACTACCATCAGATATCTTTTCTTTCTTTCATATCTGCAGACTCCATCCATTACTAAGATCAATCACATCCACACCACTGATCCAAAAGGGATTTGAGCAAGACTTATAGCTGAATTAAGAGAAATACACCATTCATTTGGCAATGAACTCAGAAGACAAACCTACCGATACATGCTGTATATCACCAGCATTACTGTATTACCTTCACTTCCCCCTACACGATGCAGTAATTCTCAAAGTTTACTTCACCTTAGAAGGTGTTCCCTTTCTTTTCAACCAGACACTCTAGGGGTGTAACCCCCAGGCATCAGTATTTTGTAAAATACTCTTGGTCAGTCCAAGTGTGAGAGTCAGGAGTCTGGCAGGAGGTACACAATAAAGACTGGGTGGATTAAATGTAAGGACCTATAATAATAAACAAAACCCAATGTTCCAGGACATAGGAAGCATGCAAATGTTTTTAGGTTTCAAATTTTAAAACTAGATAGAACTTGGAGTTTCCTTCTTTCTATCAGACAGGTTTGGGAGTTGATGTCAGTCTATGACTTTCCATTTAATAGCTGGTACTTAAAGGGTTGCTTCCTACAGTGTAGACAAAAGCATGGGCAGTCTCAAGTAGTTCCCTGCTTGAAAATATATTTATTTTGTATAAAATGATTAAGCATCAGGAAAATGACAATGTCAACAGAAATCAGAGTAGAGTTAAAAGTGATTGAGAAACAGTGATGTTTGCAAACACCTGTAGGGAAGATTCAATGTCAGAGGCACAGTCTGCTGCTGCATAGAAGGCACAGCTTTGTTTCTACAGGAAATATCACACTTGCAACACAGAGGCCAGCACTAATCAGATAAAGTACAGTGCTGAAAATATATCAAAGTTAGTTATCTTAAAAGAGTTGGTCCACATTTAAAAAATAAAATGCTAAATGGAGTGACCAGTTCCATCAGCTGACATCCTCCCCACAAACTCTTCTCAACCTTATAGTCACGCAGATAATAAATTGCACGGAAATTTTGGTATGCTTGCTTTAGAAATGCATATTTACTAATTAATAGAATTCCTGTCACTAAGGAGCAAATACACCAAATTGTACAAAATGATATTTTTATTCTGATTCGATGAGAAGACTGGATCAACAGAAGGATCTTAAAATCATCGTAACTGAGTTTTAAAGAAATTTTGCTTCAAATGTAGATCTTTAAATAGGAAACTGTTGAAAAATCAAACAGTGTGCCAACCTGTGGAATATTTCTTTCATATCTACATCTACCATGTAAACAGTTTTATATTGCATTCTTATCATGGAAATCTAGGTGGTGATCTATAATTATAATTCTGTCCACATAAAAACTTAGAAGATATTAAAGTGAACTTCAAGCCAATATAGATTGAAGTTTCCAGAAAGCACTAAAACAAAAAAAAACTCCTCAAAGTTTTATGAACTAGTTATAGGAAATAAATATAAAAAGCAGTAATTATAATTTAAGTGATATTGCCTGGAGACTCTGATCTTTTTAACAAACAGGAATTGATAAAGCTGATAAGCTTCATCTCCCACTAGCATGGCTCCTTGAAGGCACAAGCACTTACACTGAGAAACTAGAAATTGGAATCTATTACTGTCATCCTTTAAAACATTGCACCTGCATACAACACCTTTTTAGATGTGTGTTATGGCATTGCATCTGCCCGACAATGCTAGACTAACCAAATGTTTTTGAAGAAAACTGAAATAACCATCTGCTAATAATCATTTAATTTCATTCCAAATAGTTGCATTTTGTACTGATGAGAAAAAGTCACATTAAAGTACCTTCCCGAAGCAAACACATTTCAGAAGGTAGGTCTATAAATAGAGGTGCTTCTTTATGCACACTGTAAATATAAAATCATCAAGCTAGCGGAGGCTGCAATTTAAACTGAAGCACCAATATGAACTTACCTGATTTTTTAAGTCCTATTAGAATATGCTTACAATCAGTACTGATCTCCTTTTTCTAGTGCATAGTAAGGCAAAACACCCCAACTACATTTTACTTATCTCAGCCTCATCCTTCATCAGAAAGAAGCTTTGCGATTTCATTCAGAAGCAGCCGTCCCTAAACAGACTGAACATGCACAGAAGCAATAATGGAAGGGATCTAAGTTAAACCCTGCAGACGCACTAAGAAAATAGCAACATCAACACCAAAAAGCAAGTCCTTAAGAGAGGTGCTTTTCTTAGCTGCATTTCCCAAATCAGCCCCCTTTCACACATAAAATATCTCAGTTATAAAAAAGGTTCTTACCTGAGCTGATCATACTGTGCATTCTCTGCTGAGCCAAGAGCTGCTCTCGTCCAGCCACCCCATCTGAGGAAAAACACGAGTCACTCTCGTAAATTGTCTGCAGCATATTCCAATCACTCTTACTTCAGCTACATGAAAGATTCATCACTGCTGCTCACTACAAGGGCCCCAGGAGCTACCCTTGCTGGTCCTCCCTCCTCCCCAGGGAGAAGCAGCAGAGGATCAACTTCAACAATGATTCCCCTTCTGCTAAGATGGACATACACTTTTTAAAAGATCTGGACACTTTCCCTTTACCAACCTGTGTACAAAACAGAAAGCACTGAGTAGATGCTATGCCTCTCTGGAGTTTAGGTAATCCCGGAAACTAAAAGCAGGTGGGAAACAGGAATGTGCTTCGGGGTTATTGCTTTGTCAGAATAAGTAGAAAAATATTAACTCTACCCACAAGAAAAAGAAACCAATTAAACCTGGCTTATAGTTCTTCCTGCTGCTAGAGTTTCCTCGCAAGAACCATCAGTCCTGCAAGTGGCTTCAGCTAGTGCCCTTTTCCTATCTGTTTGTATGTGTCTCTTCCCCCACTCTGGACTCTCTCAGCTCAAGTTGGCTAAAGCTAGTGATAATCCATTTGCATATGAATCAACAACGGCATGGCCCACAGGCACAGAAATAGAACAATGGTCGGCCTGAGCCAAAAATAGGTCAAGCATGGCCGAGTGATTGGAGCCTGCATTAATGCATTTAAAAATACCCCAGCAAACCCAGCTGTCCAGCCTCTATCTTTCAAACCATAATTCTCTATTGCAGGGCCTTAAAAGCAATTAACTCTTTCCTCCCACCAAGCCAGCTTTATACACTATTTCCATGCTAGCGATTTGCTTCCAAAGAAAAGAAGGAAAAAAAAATTAAGAATCATAATTCAAAGAGGGCAAATATGCACATACATTTCATTTCATTTTATTTTTGTAGTATATGTTTTTGGAAGAGAGAGGAGAGAAGTGCAGAGCTCTGTATTGGTTCTAAAATAATACTGGAAGCTTTTGCTCATAATGTGGTTTCTGCCTCACCCACGCACAGCAATCCTGGTGTTCTATTTTTGTTGCCTGTTTCTCTGGCTACACTGCAGTTGGCTGTAGCACTAGAAGCTTTTCTGCCTTCTAGTTTCAAGACTGACAGGAGATTTAGTAAAGATAGTTTCGGAAAACAAGCACACCCCAGAATAAAATGTTTATGAAGGACTAGTTGATTTTTTTTACTAGCTATTTATGTAAGGCAATTGTCCATTTCACATATTCTCCTGTGATCCTGATACCACCTATCAATTTTATTGCATTCAGTTCCTATTATATTTAAATTAAAAAAACAACCACTGTGATTTAAAACTAAGAGTTCCTTTTCTTCTAGCCTCTCAGGCTAAATTCAATTCATCTGCAAAGGGAAAAGAAAAGTGGTGATCCTTTCTTATGAATGGGTGCAAAGTGATTGAGTATGTGCACCTGTGGATCAATAAGTATGATTAGCACCCAACTAGAACATCCTGCATTTCTCACTGCATTGCCTGGACCTCCCTTTTCTATAGAAATATCATTGATAAAAGTTGGTAGATTTCCAATCCAACACACACTGTAGAACTCACCTACAAAGTAAATGAACTATATAGTACATAATACCAAAAATTCTCTGGTTTCTAGTGTACACTTAGAGCAAGATCTCTATATAAGAAATAAACTCTGCATTGCTAATTATACATGCTAGCACCTAACTTCCCAAGGATAAATCCAAAAGTGGTAATCCACAGGACATCGAAGTTCTCCTACCTTTTTTGTTCATTCCTATGGCATTAGTTGCAACAGAATAGAAAATTTAAAAAGTGTTTCAAGGTTCCCAGGACAGTCATTTGGCTGCTCCCATCTAGGTCAACCACAGAGTGTGTGGCTGGGGAGAAAACAAGGGGGCCTAGAGTGCTGAAGGCAGAGGACACATGTCTTAAGACAGATAACCCACTGCTGAAGAAAATGGCACTGCATTCTCCTTCTTCTGTAGATTAACTTCTACTTCTGGCAAAATTATACTTGGATAGATAAATTATAAAATTAACAAAGGAAGTGATTCCAAACTGCATTTAACTTAAGCTAAATAAACAAATTCTCATGTATCTGTCACTGAAAAAAAATTAAACAAAGCCACTATTTACTTTCATCCCACATGAAAAGCAAATTTTCAGTCAATTAAGAAAAAAGTGTTCAAAATTCAATAGATGGAAACATTTGATCTGAGAATTTATTTGAGGGATGATGTCATCTACCTTAGCATTTTAGATCTAGAAGAAAATTTAAAGATTGTCTACAGGATGTTAAAACTCTCTGTCTCCCAGGATAAGGTACTTGGGAATTGCCTCACACAGTTCTTCAGAAGAGGTTCTTTCCACAAACAGGGCTTTCACATTTTTATCTGTTTACATTTGGATATGTAAAATTTATTTTGAACAATGACTTCTTTTGTTTAGTTGAAAAAAAATGGTAATCCATTCATCAGCAGAAATAAGCTCCCTATTTTTACACATGAGGAAAGTAATGAGACTTGTAGGTTCAAAGGTTGTAAAATCACTCATTAATAGAATTAGGATTAAAGAGACTTGCTTAGTCTCTAACAGGTAGTCTCTACCCCAGCACAGCCAGCATTCATGTTCTCAAGTCTGTGATCTTGACCCTTATTAAAATGATGCAAATAATTTTCTGAAATACTCAGAATAAATTTTAATATTGCCTACTAGTGAATAACTGAACCACTATCTGATTCTGAGTGCTTATGGACAGAATATGTAAAAGTAGTGATAAATATACAATATAGAGAACAAAATCCTAGTATTAACATAATATAGTTAAATTTCTTTTGTCATTTTACATTTAAATTATACTCTCAAACTACAGTTTACAAAAATAGTCTCCAAGCTCTCAAAATCATAAAAAAAAAGAAAAACTCTAGAATAGTGAGTTAGTAATTATCCTGTTTTCCAAAGTTCCAGGAAAGGGCTTTTCACATAAGGTAGTATAAATAACATGTCCTCTTAGTTTTGGTTTGTTTATTTATTTATTTACAACACTGTATATGATTAAAAGGTATAGGATCATACACTTTCAGGTGTATCTTACCACACTAAAGTCACCACCAAGGGACCCACAGTCCTTAACCATAGTCCACTGGGCACCCTCCACACTTTGCTCTCCACCATACCCCCCCCCCTCCGGTAGTTCAAATGTATAGTCAGATTTCCAGAGTTTGTTATTGGCTTGGTTTTGTCTGACCCTTTGTTTAGTTTCCCTATATTCCACATATAAGTGAAATCCTCTTCTCTTTGTTTTTCTCCTTTGGACTTATTTTATTTAGCATAATTCCATCTAGTTCCATCCATGTTGACACAAATGACAAGAGTTTATCTTTTTTTATAGTTGAGTAGTATTTCATTGTGCATATTCTTCATAATCCACTCCTCTGTTCTTAGGCACTTAGGTTGTTTGCATAATTTGGCTTTTTTAATAGTTATGCTATAAACATAAGGGTGCATGTAACCCTTCTAATTAGTGTTTTTGCATTTTTTGGGTAAATACCTAAAAGTGGAATTGTTGGGTGATATGGTAAGTCTATATTTAATATTTTGAGGGAACACCATACTATTGAAGAGTGATGTGTTGATTCATGATTTGTTCTAGTTTAGAGGATTGGAAAGCACTTGAGTCCTCTGAGAACTTGGAAATGCAATTTATTAAACCCATATTAGAAATACTAAGTCAGAATCATGGGGATAGAGGAAATATTTTACAAGATCTCCAAGTGAGTCTTATGCACAATAAATTTTGGATTATCATTTTCAACTTGATGATTAAAAGGCTCCAAATATAAGTGGATACTGTATCATTTTGGGATCAAATTTCAAATTATCCAGTTTTATTAGAAAAAATATTTCAATGAAAGAAATAAACTAAAGAAGACTCTTCATATTGAAGATAAGAAAAGACTGATGAAGATCATCAAGAAAAGGATTCCCTAGTTTATAGAAAGGACGAGCCCTATATACTTAAGGTGAAAAGCTGGTGAGCAGTGCTTTTCTTCACTAAGATATTTTGTTGTAGGTTCTATTTTCCTGATTATTTCTCAGTTGTACATCAGTTCCTTCATTAAGAGCTCAGCACAGACAGCCCAGGAGGATAAAGAGATATGATCATTTACAGTCATGCAATCAGATCATGTGTAGTCCTGATCTTTTGATAGAAATAAGGGAAGTTTGTTATTTCATGAAAGTAGTTCACACATTGAACATTTACTATTTTACAACCACAGTGCAAGCCCTGAAGACAAAACCACAAACATACATGATATAGCCTCTACTTCCATAGAATTTTAGCTTTAGGAGAAATACAGTAACATAAAATTACAGAAGTTTGGTAAGAAACTAAGTTACTCTAGACTTTGTTTCAATGTCCCTTGAATTTTTATTTATAAAAATGAATGTAAAATAATAAACTTTGCAGAATTATTATAAGGATTAGAGAGAATCATACCATACCTGGCAAACTGGCATTCAATTAAAAGTATCTATTATTATTATAACTTCTGTTAATAAGAATGATACCCTATGGACCTTTAATTCATGATTATTAAAATATCTGAAAATGTAGTTTTGTAGGGAACTGTATAAATTGTAATGAAAAATTATGTATTTGATTAACCATTGAGTTCCTTACCAATATTTATAGAAGCTTCATTCAGCAAATTGAAAGAATATGCTTCCTGTTGCCACTGCTTAACATAATGTCCTGCACATAGTATGTCACTAGATAAATGTCCATACAATACACTGCTGAGGGGAGCAGCGGGCGCAACAGGAGAGGTCTGCCGTGCCAAGTGGGAATCGCCCCGGCCAGCCTGGAATCGAACCTGCGCTGCAGAAGCTGTGGACAGCTTCACAGTGCTGCTCTCAACCAGCTGTGCCTCTGCCTGTTCTGCTCCCCGCTGTCTCTGGTAAATCATCTCACCCTCCCGGAACTTCTGGCCTGTACCCCAGC